CGCCACCCCGATTCGGTGTTCTCGGACTACCACCCCCCTACTGGGCTGTCAGAGCTCCCACGCCACCCCGATTCGGTATTCTCGGACTACCACCCCCCTACTGGGCTGTCGGAGCTCCCGCGCCACCCCGATTCGGTGTTCTCGGACTACCAGCCCCCATCTGGGCTCTCTGAGCTACCCCGTCACCCCGATTCGGTGTTCTCAGACTACCAGCCCCCATCTGGGCTCTCTGAGCTACCCCGTCACCCCGATTCGGTGTTCTCGGACTACCAGCCCCCATCTGGGCTCTCGGAGCTACCCCGTCACCCGGATTCGGTGTTCTCGGACTACCAGCCCCCATCTGGGCTCTCGGAGCTACCCCGTCACCCCGATTCGGTGTTCTCGGACTACCAGCCCCCGTCTGGGCTCTCGGAGCTACCGCGCCACCCTGATTCAGTGTTCTCAGACTACTACTCCCAGTCTGTGTTTTCTGACTACCACTCCCATTCTGTGCTCTCCGACCTCTCCCACCACCCCCATTCTTTGTTCTCCGATGTCTCTGATTATTCCCATTTTGTACTCTCTGACCACCATGACCCTCATTCTGTGCTCTCTGACCTTTCTAATTACCCCCATTTTGTGCTCGCTGACCACCCTCACTACCCCTATTCTGTGCTCTCTGACCTCTCCCACTACCCCCATTCTGTGCTCTCTGACCTCTCCCACTATTCCAGTTCTGCGTTCTCCGACCTCCCCCAGCCTCATTTTGTGATCCCTGCCTTCCTATACCACCCTCATTTCGTGTTCTCTGACACCCACCCCCACTGCCAATTTGTGCTCTCTGACATCTATCCCTACTGCTATTTTGTGCTCTGATCACCCCTACTTCAATTTTGTGTTCTCTGACTGCCCATGCAGCCCCCATTTTGTGCTCTCTGACCGTTCATGACACGCCACCTTATGCTCTAACCCCCACCTCTATTTTGTGCTCCCTTGCCCCCCCACTTTGTGTTCCCCTGACACCTAGTTGTGTGACCTTGAGCAAATTACTTCCCTTCTATGAACCTCAGTTTCTACATCTATAAAATGGGGATGATCCCATTCACCCTATCTCCTTCACAGGGTTTGTTGTGAGGTTCATATCAGATAATATGTGACGGTACTTTGTAAAGTGCAATCTGCGTGTAAATTATTTCTGTTACCTAGTGAGGGGAAGAGCTCCATTCTGTGTTCTGCGAGGAGTAACCCTCTTCCCGTCTATCAGTGCAGATTGAAGCCTTTTTATGCCTTAGGATATGGTTTCCGTGAGTCGCTGTGGCCAACAAAGAATGCATTCCCTGGTGGCTTACCTTGTGGAGCTAAGCCCCTCAGAGAACAAATGCTCAGTCTATCACTGGGCCCAGACTCTGAGCAAAGGCTCAGAGCTCAGGCTCTGCCCACCGGCCACAGCCTTTGAGACCCTAGGGTCGAACACACCCCTGTGCCCCATGAGGCATTGGTGGAGGAGGGAGCCATTACATGACATCACTCATCCTTTTCTACTCATTGGTGGGATACTTGGAACAACGCGCTTTTGAGTGAAATTTTCTGCTGTGGTTTTGCTTCTAAATAAAGTTCATAGTACTGTACCTGCTGCCTAGTGTGTTTCCATTCATTCTACAAACTTTGAGTATTTTCAGTGGGGCAGGGCTATTTGCTGCATGCCACAGGGAAGGGGGCCAGAGGGTGGGGGTGGAAGGGAAGGACAGAGATGAGTAAGGCCCAGCCCCTGACCTCAAAGACATCATCAAGTCAGGAAAAGAAGAGAGACAGTAGTAGTAGTAGTAGTAGTAGTAGTAGTAGTAGTAGTAGTAGTAGATCAATCCCAATAGTAGATGTCTAGGGAGGTCAGAGAAGGCTGCAGGACCAACATGGCATTTAAGCTGGGTCACCAAAACTAAGGTGGGGCCGGGACATTCCAAGCAGGCAGAACTGTCTCAACAAAGGTACCAAGGCAACTCCAGCCTGCATATGGTGCCTAGGAGGTCACTTGCTTGTTAGGGAAGAATGAAACATAAAGCTGGGAAGGTAGGTGGGGATCAGACCGAGGAGTCTGATAAATACCTAAGGCACATATTTCTTAGTAAGGGGGTGGATGGGGGAGCAAGTTCTATAAAGGCCATTTTGTTGTTCATTCATTTCTGTCACATCCAACTCTTCGTGACCCATTTGGGGTGTTGGGGTAAAGCTACTGGAGTAATTTGCCATTTCCTTCTCCAGCTCATTTGACAGATGAGGAAACTGAGGCAAACAGGGTGAAGTGACTTGCTCAGGGTCACAAAGCTAGTAAATGTCTTGAGACCAAATTTGAACTCCGGTTTTCCTGATTCCAGGGCTGATGCTCTATCCACTGCTGTCACCTAGCTAGCAAAGATGCACATTAGAGACAGCGGAGTGCTTCCAGAGGGGCTCTTCTTTCTCTAAACCTTTAGGGAAGGCTAAGGAGAAAGATACTGAGACAGAAGGAGTCTCATGTTGTTCAGTCATTCAGTCATGTCTGATTCTTCTTGACTCTTACAGATCATGGCATACCAGGCCCTTCTGTCCTCCACCATCTCCTGAAGTCTTATGCAGAGTGGTTTTATATGACCTAGTGTGGTATAGTCATGGAAAGAGAGCTAGACTTCTAATCCAAAGAACCCCGGGCTCAACTCCTAATTTTGACACCCCGTAGCTGTTTGACTGGGCTCATCACCTAGAGGGGACTCAGTTCTCCTCTGTAAAATGGTGCTAATAATCAACAATCAGTAGCTATCATTTCCCTAGTCTTTGCAACTCCTTTGATGAGGTATCTCATGTTGTATTAGACAAGATGGAGAGATGTGGGCTAGATGATGGAATTGCTCAAATACTCAGGTTCAAAGAGTAGTTATATATTAATTAATATTAATGGTTTCATGTCAAGTTAGAAGGAAGTCTACAGTGGGAGGCCTCAGGGATCTGTGCTTGGCCTTTTACTGTCTAACATTTTTATCAATGATATAAATAAAGGCCGTGCTTATCAGATTTGCCGATGACACAAAGCTGGGAGGCCTCCAAAGAGATCTTGGATGATTCTAAGATGAATTTAATAGGGCAAAACTAGGAGAATGGGTAGAAGTAACAGAGAGGCTAATTTGTGCTTAATTTCAGGAAAGGCTTCCTGGTACTTAGAGCTATCCATCAGTATAATGGACTGGAAGGTGGTGGGTCCCCCTTCACTAGAGGTCTTCAAGCAGGGGCTAGATGACTACTAATGAGATACGTTGTTGTAGGGTTTCTTTTGGAGTGTGAATTGGAGTCAATACTGAGATCCCTTATAACTCTTTTTTTTTTGGTGGGGCAGTCGGGGGTTAAGTGACTTGCTCAGGGTCACACAGCTGGTAAGTGTCAAGTGTCTGAGGTCACATTTGAACTGAGGTCCTCCTGACTCCAAGGCCAGAACTCTATCCACTGCACCACCTAGCTATCCCCAATCCCTTACAACTCTTAACAAAGTCTAGAATCCCATGACAGACTTACTCACTATATTACACATTAGCCATTTTTTTCAGGATTTGCATTCTTGATGACATGCTTGACAGAATTAAGAGCTTAAATGTTACCTAATTAAGAGAGTGGTGCTTGGCACGCCTTCCAGAAGTTGGTTTATTTCCATTACACCCTTTTAGTTTTAGCTTCTTTGAGAATGTGTCTCTCTGATCAGTGGTTGTAACCCCAGGAAGTTTGGATCAGCCTCAAGACTTGAGACCCCTCTTAGTAGTACCAGATCTCAAACTGTACTACAAAGCAGTAATCATCAAAACAATTTGGTACTGGGTCAAAAATAGGTAAGTTGATCAGTGGAACAGATTAGGCACACAACATACACAAGCAAACAAACACAGGGGCCTAGTGTTTAGTAAACCCAAAGACTCCAGATACTTGGACTATTAGAGAAAAATTTGGGAAAACTGGAAAGCAATCTGGCAGAAAATAGGGATAGACCAGTAACCCATATACTAAGATAAAAAGCTCGGTATATACTATATACTAAGAAAAGCTTCAAACAAATAGACATGAAAGGTGCCTTCATAAATAAGGAAACAAATTACCTTTCAAATCTATAAATGGGGAAGAGTTCTTGACCAAACAAGGGATACAGAGGATCACAGAAGATAAAATGGATAATTTGGTTACATACAATTAAAAAGTTTTTATACAAACAAAACCAATGCATTAGAAGGGAATCAGGTAACTGGGGGAAATTTTTCTCTGATAAAGTCTCATTTCTAAGATATATAGTGAAACCAATCAAAATTTATAAGAATAAGAGCCATTCCTAATTGACAAATGGTCAAAGGATTTGAATAGGCATACTGTAAAAGAAGAAATCTGACCTGTAAATAGCCACGTGAAAAAATATTCCAAATCCCAAATAATTAGAGAAATACAAATTAAAACAACTCTGGGGTTCCACTTCACACCCATCAGATTGGCAAAGATGACAAAAAAAGGAAAATGACAAATTTTGGAAAAGCTGAGGGAAAACAGGTACATTAATGCACTATTGCTGGCGATGTTGCAAATTGGTCCAACTGACTTAGAATGATGCCACAAAAAATTCCTAAAATGTGCACACCCTTTAACCCAGTGATGCCGCTATGAGGCCTATAACCTAAAGAAATTTCTTTTTGTTAAAAGAGCCAAAGGACCTATACGTACAAAAACATTTATAGCAGCTCTTTTTGTAGTGGCAAGGAACTGGAAACAGAGGGTTCCCATCAATTGGGAAATGCCTGAATAAATGATGGTAAATGAACAGAATGGAATACTATTATATCATAAATGACAAAAAGGATAGTTTCAGAGAAAGCTGAGATCTGTATGAATAGATAAGAGAGTAAAGGGAGCAGAGCTAGAACAATGTATACAATGTTGTACAATGTAAAGACTAGCAACTTTGAAAAGACTTGAAAACTTTGTTTATTGTTTGCAGTGACAAACC